ACCTGAACCTCCTCAACTTGTTCTTCAACAGTTTCAAGTTGTTATTGTTACACATTTTACAAAATTTTACATACATATGAAATAAAAAATTATGAAATACAAGTAGTCTCAATGATTCTAAATTCATATAATAGATTATTAAGAATATGAGGAACCTATTAAAAAGCAGTGCTTGTATATCATAGGTTCCTGGAAAAATAAGTATTATAGAAGAAAACACCGTAGCAGTAGAGTCTTCAACAGATGAAAGGGAGTCCGGTCTCAAAGCTTTATCCTAGCTGTGAAGCTGTTCTACCTGAGACTGTGTGTATCCAAGAAGATTGGTGAGAATGTCTGCTGTATGCTGTCCGAGCAAGGGAGACAAACCATTCTTATCAATTCTTCTTGGGTAGACCTGTACCTCACCTCTGTCTTCAACAGATGTAAAAGGGAGTCCAGTCTCATGGGAGAGCTATAGCTTTATCCCTGTGAAGCTCTTCCACCTGAGATTTTGTGTATCCAAGAAGATTGGTGAGAATGTCTGCTGTATGCTGTCCAAGCAAGGGAGAGGGAAAATTTTCTTTGGTTGATATGGTGCTGTACTGGACGGCATGGCCTGGAGAAAAAACAATGGCAGAAGTATAAGCTTAAAGGTAATACAAAGTTTTGGGAAATTTCGAAAATTGGGTGGACAGTGATTCTTTACAATTTTGATATATTTGGATGCCCCTGTGGATGTATTAAGGGCACTAAAAAATGTAGCCCCTAAAACACTTCTGCTTTTGAGAAAAATTTACTATAAAGATTTACCGGTGCTCCCGGTAAATTTGGATAAATTTCAAATAGCGCCTACGGCCGTGCAATGGTAGCTGCGACCATGAAAATCACAGAATATGTAGTTGTGATATATAATTTCCAAAGGGGAATAGCAAATCGGTCGATTTTAATCAAGAAACCTTGTTTTATAGCTTAATTAATATCTTGACCTTGAGAGGGAGCTATACAACATAAAGAGTTTATTATTGACAATTTCATAACTTTAGACTCGATTTCAACCGCGACAACGATCACTGAATATTGTAGGAGCACATATGCTTCCAATATGTTCATTTGAACCAAACTTATGACCCCATACCAAAACTTTGTATTACCTTTAAAGAAATCGTTTAACAATGTTAAATCTAGCTGGGATGCATGGCCCTACGTATTATCAGTGTCTGTGATATGGTGTAATATTGAAGCCCTAAAGAAATCGCGCTTCAAAATGATCATGAAGTGCCTCAAGAAAGTACAAATCTTTGAGTGACCGTCTGACCGTGATCCAAATTAATCGAAATCCTCCAATCAATCGTAAGTTCGCATTCTCCCATGTACATAGTTGCGATTGATATCAACTCTTTGTAAGACGGGGCCCTATACTACACAATGGAACCCCAAATCTACAGAGCAAGATATATGTAGAAATTGAAGTAATTTTTGTTGATTGTCTCCTTAAATGACCAAACTCGCAAGGCAGGCATCATTATTGAGCTTCTTACCTGGTACCCTCATCGTTCCCGCTGTCGGATGATCAATCTCCTGAACCAGATCATTATGCTTGACCTGGGGGTCATCAAACACCTGACCCATCGTGTTGATTGGTCCGTAGGGGAAGCCACACCCCTCCAGCACTTCCATCCAATCGCTGGTCTTCTTCTCAGATAACCTGTGGATGATGGAAAGAATTTTATATACATGTACATTGTACATACACATATGCTGCTATACTTCCAAATTTTCATGAAAACTATGGAAAACATAGGCATCGTACATGTATTAGCAAGGTCTCTACAATGTATATCATATTACACTCAAAGGTAATAAATATTAAAGCATTCAAAAAAAAAAAAATCAATATGGGGTAGGTTTTCCTAATTACCTTTTCGACAAGACAGGTAGAAGCACATCTCTATTTAGAACCCTTTGTGCGTTGGTCTTGTACTGAGGGTCTTCAGCTAGCTCCGAGAGACATATCCTCTTGAAAAGAAAAATTACAAAAATAAACAAAGAAGAATGATTCATGTGTTCATTGAAATGTATCCAAATTGTGAATTGTACATAATAAGTTTTGGGTAGTTAATATGAATATATGTACAGTGTACAAGAAGATTCAAGTAACGGTACACTTTAAAAAAAAAATTAAACAAAAAACAAACAAATATTGGTACATGTATGATGTCTGTAACAACGGGATATGACTATCTTTTGGCATAGACATGCACATCATACATAATCTATTATCTTTGTGTAAAGGGCTGGATGCGTCATGCATAAATCAGACTCTTACAGGAATGAGTCTGTTCAAACAGAAAATTGATAAATCCAATGATTCACAACAAATGAGGGGGGGGGGGGGGGGCTCAGCCCTTTAGAGTTAAGGTTAGATAAAAAATGGTAAGATTTCAATACATGTGTAGGAGCATTCAGGTCTAAAATGGCGAGACTTACCTTACATAAGGTCTGAAATGCTCTGTCATTACCAGCGCCTATGATCAGATACCCATCAGCAGTCTTGAATGCCTGTAAGAAAAAAAATAACCAACTGTACCAAAACAATTTTAACCCGTTCACAACAGGAATGTTAAAATCACATGCCTGTATTAAACAAAACATGGTAAAAACTTTTCATAGCGGTAACTCTATATCAGCATTTCTAACCAGGGTGCCGCAAGAGCAATTAATGAACAACTATTTTGTCATCCATTATGAAATAAATACCAATTTTGTAAACAATATTTGGAGCCCCTATGTATTTTCGCGAAGAAAATCAACATAACTTGCGCCATTGTTGACCTTTTTGGTGGATTTGAACGGACGAGTTATACAGTAAAACCTGCTGTAGCAACCACCTGTATAGAAGACCACCTGTCTATGAAGACCACATTTTCAATTTCCCTTGAATAGTTTTTCTTCTCATTGAAACATGCCCTAAAAAGACCTTTACATAAACACTACCTGCCTATATAATAAAGGCAACTTTTCTTGCCTCCCTTGAGTGGTCTTTATATACAGGTTTCACTGTAGAAAAATGTAATACCTGATATGGTACTATGCTTTCATGTTGGGTGCCTCTCCTCTTAGCCTCCCTGCCATCCATTAGGTAATTTGTAGCGAGATGGGTCAATAATGAAACCTATCAACGACATAAAAAACAATTATATATCAATATGAGAAAGACGAATCCACTTTTTATTTGTACGTTACATTGTTGAAAGATAATGCATGAGCAAGATAGACAGAGGTCGGAGATAGAGGAGAAGGGGGAATACATGCAGCAAGAAAGTGGGGACAAGAAAGAGAAAGAGAGAGAGAGAGAAAGAGAGAGAAGATTGAGAGGAGAGAAATTATTAGTCTCAAGTAAGAGAGAGAGAGAGAAAGAGAGAGAAAATCAAGACAGACAGAAGGAGAGTGATAGAGAGAGGGCGAGAGAAAAAGGAGAGAGGGAGAGAGAAAGGGAGAGTGTGGGAAATAGAAAAAAAGAAGAGAGAGAGAGAGAGAGAGAGAGAAGAGAAAAGACGGAGAGGGGTAGGGAAAGAAAGAAAGTGAAAAAGAAGGAGAGAGATCCACACAAAGGGAAAGAAAACAGGGAATGAGTACATTATATGCACATGTCTTACAAAATGGAGGGTAGTATAGTAGTAGCTGTCTGTCGCGAAGCGACAATGACCGCCTTCATTTTCACTTTACAGCTGTTTATACTGTTGCGCATAATGAAGGCTGCTTGCAAAGGTGGATAAGTACCGGTAGCTCTTGCAAGTTACTAACGGCACTCTCTCGGGGAACTGGTGGCAGTTTCACACCGGCGAGGACAAGCCAGGACAGGTGTGAACCACTAGATCCTGCGGTGACTGGTCGAATGATGTTGGGAGGGTACAGACTGCATAAGATCATTGCATATTGCAATCTCTAGTGGATTTCTCTACATTCCCATACCTGTGTTGATAAGAGATTGGTATCAATTCTCTGGCCTTCTCCTGTCTGCATTCTGTGTAATAGAGCTGCTAGAATGGCACCTTTGGCATAGAGACCGGTGGACAGATCTGTCATCGCCACACCTACTTTGCATGGATCCCCTTCCTATATATACAGAAGTATAAAATAAAGTGTTAGTTTAACTTCATAGAAAAAGCAAGAAATTTCATAATCAAAGTGTTTCTCATGAGTAATTATAGAGCCCATTTGCGAATTTGATAAGTCCTACAAAATGTTTTGTCAGATTTCTTTGATATTAAGCATTAAATAGTGATACTTACAAATATAAGATGGTTTATATTTTTCATCCTTAAATAGGATATTCACTAATAATAGGAGAAAAATAATTTATGTTTTAGCCATGGATCTAAATGAGAAAGTGCCCCTATTGTTTGTGAAACCCATCAACAGCTGTGAGCATAAAAAAGTCCAAACCTCTGTCATGTGTGATGGTAATGCCACTACGGAAATTATACAGAGGAGCAATTAGCTCTATACAGAGTTTCTTCAAGAATACTTACTCTCACAGTTATCAAAAATCACACATATTTATTTTCATTTTGATATTCTCACTTTCAGAAGAAAAAAAATGTCACCTCACTCTGATCTGCTTATCATATTCATCTTTAAGCCTATATCAATTCAAACTAAATTGTCCTGGTTGAAAAAAATGCTACAAACTAAAATGAGTGCCTTTATGCTTTCCATTTTGTCATACACGTACCTGTGGGCCTGTGATATTCATCAGTCCTCCCAAGCCTGCTGCTATGAGGTCATAGCCACCCCTCTCCGAGTATGGTCCAGTCTGGCCATAACCTACAACAAATAACATGAGATCATTCACCATTCAAACAAAACTTTTGTCTGTTAAAGATACTATGTCCCATTTGCAGGTCAAAAAAATGAAAAGGTTAAATTCCAACATTATTTTAAAAACAATACTTATTTAGAACTTCCCTCAAAACGAAAGGGTTTGAAAATGGCTTTTTGTGGGGAAATCAGGACCATTAGTTGTCGGATCGACACAAGTTATTGCAATCACCTAAGTAATAGTCTGATTTTCAGACCCTTGTACCGAATGGTCGTACAATTTGTGCTGCACAAAGATTCAATCAGTTTAATTTTGGCCATTACAAATAGTGGGATATTGATGTATACCTGTTACTGCTCATTTATGTAAGTTATTACCCCCCCCCCCCAAAAAAAAGAAAAAGATGTCAGTCAGTCACTCAATAGTGTCTGACAGGGAAGTCTAGAAAGTAAACGGGTTTACTTGCACAATTTGAATACTAGGACACTACTAATGTTTAAATTTCACAGATAGGCAATGAGTTCCACATACATGTACCCTCTCACCTGTAATTGAACAGTAGATTAGACCAGGATTGGTTTCTCTGAGGCTGTCATACCCTAGACCTAGCTCCTCCAGCTTGCCAGGGATGTAGTTCTCCAGGAGCACATCACTGGATGCAACTAACTGGTAGAATAAAATGATAAGTAACAAAAGCCATATTTTTATATTTGCATGTATATCCATGATCAAGGTAATTACAAAGTCCTCATTACCCTGGCTTCAACCAAGCTACCCTAAGGCACTGAAAGCATTCAAAGAATACATGTACGTGTAACTTCCTACCAGGTACTCATTTATTACACCTGGGTGGAGAGTAGTAAATGTAGATTATTGTCTCGCAAAAGAACATTAGTGCTGGCCTGGGACTCGAACCTTGAACCATGTGATCCACAATCTGGATACAATCCACTCGACTACTACAGGTAATAACAATACCTTTAGAGGTTCTCATACGTTTTGTAGGGGGTTAAACCAACTCGACATCATTTGGCATTTTGACAATACCTTATTCCTGTGAGAAAATGTGGAATTTTGGGTGTTCTAAAAGATGTTTAATGGCAATATTGACGGAAGTATTTGCGCTCGATTTAGCTCTCGTTAAATAACTTAGCCATGATTTCTGCCGAGATCGAGTTGGCCCTGGTACCGCCTTAGCCAGGATCCATTTAGTAGATTAAGAGTAAAAAAACGTTACTGCACTACATAGCCAAGCTAGATACCTGTAACTACTGCAAGGTTCATTGATTTTCATTTAGCTTCCCTTACTCTTTGTCTCTATTCTTTATACTTCTTTTGTTCTATCCTTACTCATTCACCTGGCCTCCTCTTACCCACTCAACCTTGCCTGCTATGGCAACCTCTCTCTCTCTCATGACTATCCAACTTTTAACTCACTAGACACAGACACTCTCTCTTTCCTTCTTTTGGTTACTTTACTTCTTGCAAAATTGTGATTGATCAATTACTAAACATCTTGGGAGCCATCTTATCAAAATAAAGTGAGTGCACCTTAAGTCTTGCAGCACGTAGGGTCTGAAATTTTGTGTGTCTTACTTTACTATAATATACCTTCTTAACCACCTCTATTCCTTTGGGATGCTTCAGATTTACAGCGAGACTCTGTTGGTGAAAAAGAAAAAAAAAATTCTATGGTTGAAAGAAAGTAGATTGGTGTGACTTGCAGTATCCACACAAGAGATGACCACATAGCCTTACAACAGGATCTTTCCACACTGGCAGAATGGGCAGACCTTTGGGATATGTCATTCAATGTGAAGAAATGTTCCCACATGTGCATCTCTTTGAAGCGGCATCCCTTGACATATGACTTCAACATCAATGGGAAAGCAGTTTCCAAAGCTACTTCCTATAAATACCTCGGAGTCACAGTGGCAAACAATCTGAGCTGGAACACCCATGCACAGAAGATCCAAGCGAAAGCTGCAAGAACTCTTGGAGTTGTACGTCGAGCCCTTGAGAAATGTGAGCAGAAAGTCAAGGAAATTGCATACAAGCAGCTTTTACGACCCCAGTTGGAATATGCCTCAAGTGTTTGGAATCCACACACCCAGAAGGAGATCAAACTCATAGAGAGCATACAGAGACAAGCTGCTAGATTCGTCCTCCATGACTATAGCAGAGAATCTAGTGTCACCACCATGCTGTCATCTCTTGGCTGGGACACGCTACAACACCGCCGCTTGCTAAATCAATGCGAGATGCTCTTCAAAGTACACCACAAACTTGTCCAGATCTCCTTGCCTCCTGACATCCGACTTATCACAGGCATCACCAGACCGCAACGAGCACAACCTCAAAGCCACAACTTCAGATTCACCCAACCATTTTGCCGAGTTAACTGCTACATGTACAGCATGTTTCCCAAAGCAGTCCGTGTCTGGAACACTCTCCCAAGCAACGCTGTCACTGCAAATACAATTCTTGGCTTTAGGGGAGCGGCACTACCCGCCATACAGACTATGGCGCCGCCCCTGCCCCTGAAGATGTTGTAACGAGAGACACACCTGCACTACCTGCACACTGCACATTGTATATAGTGCACGGAGAACAACCACCATCACTTCACCAACAGCACATCACCAACAGCACGCAACACAGCACAGCCCTCTCCAGGACAGCGTTCACGCTTTTGGGAGAGTAATTCTTCAAGGTTCAAGGTTCAGTGTGAAAGAGATAAGTAGGCAATAATTTTTTGGCTAATTAAAAGGTAATTTAATATATTTCTTTTCTAAATTACCTTCTAATCGATTCAATTAAATTAATTCTACTAAATTAGATGGCAAAGAAACTTAAAGGAAGCACTCAAAAATGAAAAAAATTGAAAAAAAATCTATCCTAGCACTGATCTATTTCTTTTAATCTTGATTTCCATCCTACCTTTTTATTTCTATTGACCGATAGAAAGTAGCAGCTTTCTCCATTGATGAATGGTGGACCCCAATGTCTAGTCTCATCTCCAACACCTTGTCAAATGCAAAACAAAGAATAGTCAATCATTAAGGACGCATTATTTAATAACACTTCATGTTTCCTCGTTATCATTAAATCCATATTCTAAGCAGATCTGCAAAACATAAAATAGATAATATCAAGAGATTAATATTTATCTAAAATATAAAACTAGTTTTCTCTTCAGTACAGTTGGCTCATAAAACTCAGGATTTGAACAAATCCCCAAGAAACAGATTAAAAGGTAACCCATACGTGCATGTACATGTAACTAGTTTGTAATGCACCGATATATTGTAGATGCCATTATTATTATCATTATCATCATCATCATTAAAATACTAAGACTTGAACAAATAGCTTTGTAATGTAAAAACATTATTCAGGTAATTATCATTCATGACTATAATCAAGTATGAATTCAATCCGATTGATTAAACATAATTTTTCACAGCTCTTACCCGGCCTTTCAATCTTGATTACCTCAGCCCCTAGATCTCCCAAGAGCATAGAGCAGAAAGGGCCTGCTAAAACTCTACAAGAATACACACAATGAGAAAATTGAAATACATGTACATGCAATTCTAACTTATTAGTTGTTCATTAACTTGCAGACAATCAAATAAATCAGATGGCATGGATGATTAATTTTTTACACTAGGAAACAAAAAAGAAAAAGTCCTTTAAACGCTTCAACCTAAGGATATATATCAGCAGGTCAGCACACTTTATAAGCTTGTATTTGATCGATAAACGTCATAATATTCTGATCCAAATTGGATTTTTATCAAAATGTTACATGCACTTATCAAAGCAAACTCGATGTCGGGTCGAATAGAGCACCGTCTCGCCACAGAACATACATACAGGACCTGAACCCTGACCATATCAATGACAAACTCTGATCTAACAACTTATACAAATTATGATAACAAAATAATCTTTCTTTTCTAAATAGCTTTCTAACCAATGCATTATGATTGAAGATTCAAGCCGCGATCAGGCAGTTCTTTGAAGAAGAAAAAGTAGAATGGTAATGCCTACACGTTGTGATGGTTTATCTCTGAGTTGTATGGTAATGCTAATGGCTAAAAAAAACAACAAACAAACAACAAAAACAAATAAAACACAACAAAAATAAACAATATAATAAAACAATTAAACAAAAAAATGAATACCTTGTTAGATCAACTACTCTGATGCCAGCAAGCGGTGAGGAAACAGATGAGAGACATCTAACTGTGACAAATATTGAGAAAGGATATAGACCTAATATCTCAATCGTGTTTTACAAGCTTCCTACGGCCTATACTCAACAAGTTATGTCTTCACTCCTACAATCACAAACATTAGGTATAATCTACTTAATTGAATACCCTAAAATAAAATAAACAGCAGTGTAATGGATTAATAATAGAAAATTTCATCGAGGTATAGATTATTCCACCGGCCACCGCATCATGAATGATTCAAAACTCCAACTCTCTGAAATGATAAACCTCGACGGGCGCGGTGCGCGGGCTTGTAATAAGCCAAGACTTAAATTAATCTGTAGATATAGAACCCTAGATGAGTCTCTATCTTAATTAAAACCTGAAATTAATTTCGAATCGGTTTTTATCAGCCAAAGGCCATTTCATTTGGTAAAGACTTCAAACTTCCTACTAGTACTAACATCGATGTGAGCACGTGGGGCAGTACAACACAACACAAGACTCGTTTTCCTTAATTTCTCTCTAAATTAATTAATAATCAGTGTATAACAGATAACTACATGCTTACGTTTCTGTCTCCTTGCTAACCAAGATGTGAAATTTCCTCTAAAACCAACGACCCGCATGCACTTTGCATGTGCAAGATTCATATTCATTTTTACGTAGACTAGATCTATTCTCCTTCAATCGCGCAATCTTCAATCGCGAATCGTACACTTTATAAATAAGGGGGCGGGGTTTCAAATCGACCCCGCCCCATATAGATCTCAGATCAGGGGAGAAATAATCAGAGTGACTAAAAAATAGAAGTAGACAGCAACAAACATCTCTCCTAAAAGATTTAGTTATGGACCCCCTTTTAATTGACTCAAACTATTATTGTACGCAGATGACAGCGTACTACTCTATTCAAATCCTGATCCTAAATATATTGAGGAAAAGCTCAGTGAACAGCTGTCTACGTGTGTCGATTGGATGACTGATAATAAGCTTTCTTTACACTTGGGAAAAACAGAAAGCATTTTATTTTGTTCTAAAAGTAGTTCTAAAAAGTCATTTGAATTCAAAGTGACACACAATAATCAAGCAATCAAGAGAAAAGAGTCTGTGAAGTATTTAGGCATTGAGTTGGCTAGCGCAATTTCATTTTCATCTTTAGTAGAATCAGTTGTAAAAAAAGCAAATTCTCGTCTGAAATTTTTGTACAGATATCAAAGTTGTATGGATTTAAAAGCAAGACGTACACTCTGTTTTGCTCTTATTCAATTTTTATTTGACTATGCTAACCCTGCATGGTACAGTAACATAAACAAGTCAGATCAAAAGAAGTTGAAGATTATACAGAACAAAATGGTGAGATTTATCAACTGTTCTGGTCCAAGAACTCATGTTGGCTATAGCGAACTTTCTAAAGCTGGTTTTCTTGAAGTCGACCAAAGATCAAAACAACTCGCATTGCATCACGTGCATAAAATATATCATACTAGGGCGAATCATTATATTCGATCCAACTTCGATCTTGTTACTGACGTACATGATTATAATACAAGAAATAGACGATTCAACTTTAACTTACCAGAAAGAGTAGGTAGTATTGGAAATTCGTTTTATTACAATGCCATAAAACATTGGAATTCCCTTCCCAATGGTGTAAAAGAAATAGGAAACTATGATCATTTTAAGAGGAAATTAAAGGAATACCTAATACTTGACAGTCAGAGAAGAGAAGTGAATGACATGTTATATGATTGAAATTGTTATTCTTCTGTCGGTTCATACTTTTTCATGTTGTATATACTTATGTTTTCGTACGTTATAGAAATTCTACAAATTCATCATTATTTTCCTCTTCTTCCTTCTCCTCTTTTTCTTCTTCTCCTTCTTCTTTTTCTTCTTGTACTTAATATCATTTCTATCATCAGTTTAATGTTGTTATTATTATCTTTAATAAGTAGTTCTTTTAATTTTCTTATCTGTCTGTAAATATTACTATTTTAATTTATTAATTGTATACATGTCTGTAAGGGACCCCACTGGAAATAAGCTCTCGAGCTTTCGTGGGTTATCCTGTTCAAGCTGACTTATTTTTGATCTGTTATTATTGTATATTGTTGTATATTGGAAGCTTGTCGAATAAAAATCAATCAATCAAATACCCCGCTACATAACCCCCCTTTCGCTCCCCCCCCCCTTTGATCCCAACCTCCCGGATATATGGGTCGTTATAATTTTTTATATCGCCTAGCTTACCACTCGTTCTTCTCTCTCACTTGTCTCCCCCTCACCCTCTCCTCGTATCTTCTCCCTCCCCTCTCTATACCCCCCTTTTTTCTCTACTTTCTCTCTCGCGACCCCCCTTTCTCTCTTCTCTCTCTCTTCTCGACTTATATCTCCACCCATACTCGATTCGATTGGACAGGTGCACGTACATACAGATCCACACACTTAGAATTTTCTTTTAATTGGATGCTACGTGATTCCATTATGCTAGTTGAAACCATCATGAAGTTCCTAAACGTAAAATGCTAAATTTTAGAAATAATATTTGTTTTCCATAGCCAGAGTCAATTTGACAGACCGGCCCTTTGCTTTAGTGACTTTCACAAAATATAATAATACATGCTTAAAATATCCACTGAGTGAATTTAAACTAGTAATATATTCGCCTACGGAAGGCTAGCTAGAAGGGCGTTCAAGTTAGCTAGGTCCTTGGCAGGCGAATTGCATTTAATCGAAATGATACTATAGTCAATGAACAACTGAAAATGAAAAAAATGACAGGGTGAAGTGTTGTTTCACTTAGAGTGCTGTACATTTATTATTAAGTTAAAAACCAACATTTTAGTTTATATCATTACACGACTTTTACAAGTCTACAATCTAAACTCCACACATTTTTCTTCTTCTTTTCTAAAGTATAAAACAGTATGTTCTTTCAAGATTTGATAATTATATACATTGTATGTTACTCATTTGGATGACTCCGCAAGTCCGCAACTCCCCTTTCATGATGTACTCCTATTCCCCTCGCCCCAACACTCCCTAACTAGCTTGGGGAGGTGGAATGAAAAAATCCTTACACATTTTCTTTCTTTCTATGTTCCAATATTTACATTTTCAAAACGGAGTGAAATGCAGGCGAGACGGAAATAGGTCGCTCCTGGATCTATTTACATATATACATGTGTATTTCAAACTTCACACAAATTAAGCTTATTAGTCCAGTTATGAACTTGATCAATACTCAACAGTTCTCTATTATCTACATTATCCATAAACTATACATGTTTCAACTTATTCATTATGGTAGATATATACAAGACTAAACTACACTTTTTATTACCAATTTCTCCAAATTGACCGTGTAAACTAACTGAAAGAAACTTTACATTAAAACAAATCAATACCCAATTATCGTCCAGTTCTTTAAACTGTAAACAAACTCGAAGTAACACGATATCGATAACCTAACAGAAGGCATTCACTGTAGCTTTGTCTACCATCTTTCCAAATGTGCTTACTTATGCCGTACACAAATTACGTAATCCCGATCACGATTTATATTGGTTATGCTATGAGTTATTGATTATACTTGAGCTTATTCATTGAAAGTCTTTGCGATCGCCTTTTTTATCAGTATTTCCTTGATCAAATGGTTCTATTCATAACACCAAACGATCCAGGAGCTTGTCAAATATTCTAGTGTTTCCTCTAAAGGCGTCGTTTGTAAACATTTATTTACCTATCGAAATTCTCTATAGCACCTCAAAAGCCGCTGGTGTTTCAAATTTGAGGATGCTTTCAGGGCTTAGGCCTAATAGGCTGCATAGCCCTCGTGCCTGTTTAAAATAATAATTTTTAGAGGGAAAATCACGTCTTACTCCAAATGCAACCAACTATTCTCCTCCCCATTACTTTTTTTAATGAAATATGAATTTAAATAAACAATCTAATTTTAGAGCACTAAGACAGACACAAACCACAATTCGATAAGAGGCAAAACTGAATAAGCAGGTGTTGGAATCAAGTTGACATTAGGCGGAGCTTAATCTCTGGTCTTAATTAGTTCCTAATGTTTCGATGTGATCTTAACTGAGCTACGATGAGGTTTATAATTTCATGTTTTGGTACGTGGCTTCGGGTTCAACCCATGGAGCAATTGGTTTTTCTCCTTGGCATTTGACAGGATCAATGTGTACATCACTGAGATTTCCATAAACGTTGTCGTTGATTAGTTGAATGTCCAAAGAATTTGGAGGATCTGATGTTTCTGGAAGATTCAGAGAACCGTACATATCTTTGTTCTCCGTCTCTTCAGCAAAGGCCTCATTTACATTATGTCTGGAAGACTTCTTTACGGATGTCCTGAAGTTGAGAGTATCGTACTCATCGCCTTTAGAGAGTCTGATGTCTGTATTGCCACTTTGATGCTGTTTATTGCTCGAGGTGCCAGCATCAGGACCCAAAGATCGGCGTTCAAGAGTAAAACGCTTGTTGACACCAGCATCTTCTTGACCTGTGAAGTTGACCCTGCCCACATCTTCATACTCATTATCGGATACTTCACCATGACGTTCGTCGTCCTTTGATGGAATCTCAAGGGTGTAGTAATTATTGGGGTGACAAGTCGTCTTGTCCGACATAGACCTCCAAGCCTTGTCATTTCGGTCTTTCTCGATATCTGCAGAAATATCATTCATTGGAGCCTCCAGAGTGTAATAGGTTTTTCCATCACATGACGTCTTCTCCTGAGTAGACCTACAAGCCAAATTGCAATCCCCATCTCCTTTCGTGTCTTTTAAATCGTCGCCCACATTGGAAACACCGAACCGTTTATCCTCGATATCTGCATATGTATTTTCTTGTCCTTGGTAGATTGTACAATCATCTTTCGTCGGAACCTCTAGAGTGTGATAGGTGATGTCATCACATGTCGTCTTGTAATGGGCAGATCTACAAGCCCAACCGCCATGTTCATCTCCTGCGATGTTTCCCATATCGGTGTCCGCATTGGTGCCAATGGTGTCAGGGGTTGTCGTACTACTTGAAGGAGCGTGGTCACCGTCGACCAGTATATCTGAGGCTGACGGCAAGGCACTCCACTCATCATACAGCTCGTTGATTACTAAACCAGTGTCGTCTACATCTGATCCTTGTGAAGAAACTGGTTTCGATCTAGATCTGAATAAGAAAGTAAAATCTAATCAATTGGCTGTCTTGAATTGGCAGTAAAACACGATTAAACAAAGGGGAAGGGGTCGCACGATGATTCTAAAGTTTATAAAGGAATCGATCCCAAATTACATGTGATTATAGATCTATTCTAGAACTTGTATGTTATATATTTCTATACGTTCTCTACGTTCTATATTTTGGAAAAGTATTAACTCAAAATTCATTTGATTGCGTTATTAATATCATGTGTTTTCACGATCGGTTCCACTACATTATATTAATAAGTAGTGTTTAAATGAACTGCGAATATTCATCCATCGAATTTTCGTTGGTGATTTTAGTTTCAAGAAGGACTAAAATATCTATGCTCTAAAAAGCGTTGTTGATATTGCTTTGGTTATTACCACCTTTCTTTTTTCAACTGTTGATTTGATCAATAAGTCCATAAACATAAACAAAAAATTATTTCAAAATAAATTAACCTTTTTTAAAGGTTTGGAAAACCGGTGAAGGCGTCGATGAATCGAAAATCAGTGCAGCTCTTTTGTGCTCATTTATTGGCATATTGACAGATAGCAGTTCAGAATTTTCTGAATGTCTAAATGAATCGCTGTGCCTTTGCATCCTCGAATTGGGATTAACTCTTTATATTTTGTTCACTCCTACAAAGTTCAATGTGAATGATAATGTAACAGAAATGTCAATACAAAGTATAAAATGCAACGGAAATTGTCAACTTTTACTCGAAAGAAACTAGACTCAAATTATTAATTACCTTGTTCTCATTCCTTAGTCGCTCAATGTACTACAGAAAAAGACTCAAGCAAACAATTCAAAGCAAACTGGTTCAGAAGATAACGAATTAAAAGAAAAAACAGTAAAAGGAGACACTAATACGACTAAAGTGCTTAAGGTTATGAAAGCTTACATCATCTTTGCCACAAACCTGCATTTCCGGCGAAGGAAGATTGCAACGATGACTGCCAAAAGAAGACATGTAGCTGCAACCGAAGAGGCCACATAAAGGATATAACGTGGAATAGGTTCCCCTGTTTTTATGAAAATAAGCGAAATATGATATTCTCAACTGATAGTGTCAAACGGATTTAAGGAGGCTGAGGAAAAAAATGAAAATGATTGCTTTGAAATGTGCCATCTTGGCTTTCTCCTTCAAAATGTCTCTTTTGATATGCTTTGAACTTTCCTCATGTACTTTTCAACTGTTTTTGGACATGACCAAGACGTTCCCTTTTCTTATTTTCATCTTCAATCTTTTCATTCTACAATACCTTGATGGGATGTAGACCCAGTCTGTTCTACCACTTGCACTGAAATAACAAAAGGTATAAACAAAATTGTGTTATTGAGTTATAGGAAAAGGAGCTTTCAAAAACATCCATGGGGAAATATGAGGGCAATTCTAAATCTTTTTATTTACATTTATGTATATTTATATCTTATTGATTCTTTCGTCGTCTCTTTTTATCGTCCCCAAATATTGCTTTCTCTTTTCTATGTTATTCTCCTTTTATATTCGTCATGCTTTTTTTTTCTTTGTCCTTCTTTGATATATTTGAAGAAAGAAGAATGCTCGTATACTTGATCTCTTTTGTCTGTCTCGTGAGTAATCAGTCTACTGGGATTCTCCCTTCAACATTCGTTTTAAATACTAACCTGTCTGTGGTTTTGTTTCCCCCATTGTTGACAACACCTCAGTTGTAGGATTGGCGGCAGACAAAGTTTGAATGTTGTCAGAGCTGGATGTTGACTGTAAAGAAACTTCTACACGGAAAGAATTAAGGAATATAAGAAGTCGCTTAGTATTGATTGTCTGATTAATTGTTATACTTTTCTATGAATAATATACGATGAATCAAACATGGTAATAAATGGTAGTAGTTGGTCGAATGTTCACAAGTCGCCTCATTTCTATTGAACGTGTAGGGGAGGGTACGGTAAGCCAAATCCTATTCTTATATATTTGGTGAATAACATTCCTTGAATATTTCTGTATACGGTTGTATATGATGCTGCTCTCTCAATATACTGTTTAATCATCAATATTTATGTCTTCGTTATAAGCAACGATATGTGCAATCAGGCGCGTACACAGGGGGGGGGGGGGGGGTGTTTGGGGGGGTTAACCCCCCCCCTTTGGTAATTTTTTGTATGTAAACCCCCCCTAAATTTCTAAATGTTAAACCCCCCCCCCCCTTGAAAAAATCCTGCGTACGCGCCTGTGTGCAATCATCTGTAACTCCTCACTTCAACCCTCTCCCTCTCCCTCTCCCTCTGTCTCTCTCTCTCTCTCTCTGTCTCTCTATGTCTCTCTCCCAATCACTCTTTAGTCTCTACCTATCATTCTTCTCTTCTTTTTGTTGCACCTTTGCATCACCAGGAACTCCCTAATTTAAGTATTTTGCTTGTACCTAATTATCAGGACTCACGAGGCACCAAGCTACGCTTATCTTCTCGCTGAAATACACGGACCTCCTTTATTTTTACCGAGGTGTTTACCCTTTCTCCTTCTCGATAGCAATGTCTAGATTCGCCACTTGGGGACCCCCTCCTAACAACCTTATCTTATATATAAAAAGCTGTCCATAAAGATTAAATACATTTTGCTTACCTCTATTCCTAAGATTATTTTGACGATATTTTTTTTTATTGTTAGATACATACAATGCATGTCTTCTCAGAACTTGATTTGATCAATCTCTATGGCCCGAATTCACAAAGGAGGTTTGTCGACAAACCTCCTTTTGTTTCGCCAAATTTCCTTTTTGTTTTTTACAAACCAGGTTTGTAAAAAAACGCGTAAAAACGCGTCATATGACGTACGAAAACCAAGGTTTGTCGACAAACCTCCTTTGTGAATTCGGGCCAATGACTCTTTAGAGTTAAGTGACATCTTGAAATCCGTCATGGAAAAACGATTGCGTCCCGTACTTACAACTACAAGAGAATAAACAATTACATTGCCATACAAATACCTGGTTGGACTACATTAACATCGTCAATTCCTACATTAGTGTTATCGTCTCCTCGAACTGCTTTGAAGGAAATCTATATGTAAAAAAAAAAAAAAAATTGTATAAGTACCGCAGGAAAACCTGTAATTCACTGGAACAATATATATTTCTTTCTTTACATCAATTCGTTAAACAATCACAAGGCTAGAAAGAAGCAAGAAAACAATCCCCATTCATGATAATTATCAAAATTACAGAATTTGTTGGCAACCACTAGAAATGCAAACTAAAGATAGGTATAATCTCAAAAGATCAAGGTTTCGTCTCATGAAGTATTGCGATTGATTTGAATCAATCGCAACTCTTTATAACTACAAGGCCATGGATATGATATAAACTTTTAATCTTTTTTGTCTCCATATTAATATAATCACAATGAATAGACGATTGGACAATGTAATATAAAATCATAAATGTTGACCGTTACTTAATATAAACAATCTAGCTACCTAGTTTCCAGAGAAACGGTTCATCGTTTAAAAAGAAGATATATGGCGCTGATTAGGATCTATTTAAAAGTGTGAGGGTCTACTCAAAATATATTATGGATGGTATATTGTTATAAATCCTCTAGAATGAAAAGATCCCTGAGTTATACATTTTGAAAAATTGACATTATCGAGTAGGCCATGGGTATTTCCCAAACAACTTTAACAGAATGCATGACTTCTAATTTTGTTTTGGTCCGATTTCATTCAATCTTTCACAAGTTTGCTTTTTTGATTTTCCTGCTTTCTTTTAGAGGAGGTGTCTATCAAGGTTGGAGTTTTCTTCAATGTAATACCTCGACATCCGAGCAGTTGAATGAGTGTTGTCTCAATGCCCAGCCTTCAACAACATGTAATGGATGCACAGTACCTTCACCCTTGCATACACTGTAATTAAAATAGCCATGCCTTTCGTTGCGAGATTCCGAATTGAAGATATATCTGAACGAGAGTAGCCAGCCATTTGATGTTGGTAAAGAAGCATTGAATAGCGTGCACTCAGCAGAACTACCTTCGACTCCGCCAGGATTGTTGAGAGCTGCCCGAAAATACGGTTGATTTCCATCAAAAGCTGGTAGGTAAGATAAAAGTAATGGATATTCAGACTGATTTGTTCTGCAACAGTTTTTCCACTGCTCATTGTCATGATTGTGATTTTTAATTGCGATTGGAACACGCCAGTCTCTGGAAAAGTTTTATGCTAACCAATAACGCCTTATATGCTATGCTCATTGCAGGGGCGGCGGGGCGACCTCTAAAGTGAGGGGGGGGGGGGGTGGGCACCAAAAAGGGCACTTTCTTGAAAAATGGTTTCCTACAAAGGAAAATCTTAGAGCGCAAATATACCACATTTTAGACATTGGTATATACCCCTATCTTTTTTTAAACATTATCTGGGATGCTTTCAATATGTGTTTCTCTTTAAACATCATAACAGACATTTCTTAAGCATCATACTTTGCATTTGGGTGTGATGGTCTTAGTATTCATTTGCGAACGAGCAAAGCCAACGAGGAACTCTTTTGCAAAAGATTTGTGAGGTCGCATTGCGAAAAATTTCATCTTATAAAGAGGGAAAAATCCAATCATGATGGGGTTACAAGCACATTCTCATAATAGAAGACTGAAAAGACCTTTCATAAGTAAAATAATTATATAATCTATAAATGCGAGTGCGTGTAGCGAGCGAACATTGGGGGAAATTGCTCTCTGTCGCTTTAAATTAGGGGCACGTGTAATGATGAGAGGAAAAGGGGACACATATCAAAAGGGATAAGACACCTATTAGAAAAGAAAGGGAGCACGTGTCAAAGTACAAAGGGTAATTAATAATAGAGGTGAAAATGGGGCACTTCTTATACCTGAAAAAAAGCACTCACGAGAGATGAAAAAAAGCTTTAATGAGAATGGTAAATGGGCATTTGTCGACGGAAATGGGGCACCAACTATATTTTGATAGGGGTATTTATAAGAGTTGAAAAGGGGCATTTATGAAAAGGGGATATGTCCCTTATTAGAAAGGAAAAGGATCACGTATCATTGTTAAAAGGGAAATTATCAGAGGTGAAAAGGGGCCCTTATCGCACCTGAAAAGGGGCACTGACCAGATATGAAAAGGGGTACTTATGTGTATGAAAAAAAAGGCACTTATATTAAAGGAAAATGTGCATTTCTTCAAATAAACGGGGTACCGATCAGATTTGAAGGGGTTTTTAGGAGAAGGGGGAAGTCTCTCTCATTGTAATGAGAAGGGGCATTCATTAGAAGGGGAATAAGCTCTTTTTTAATGGGGCACTGATCATAGGGCACTTATCATAGGAAAAGGAGCACATGTGAAAATGGGGAACGGGAACTTATTATAAAGGAAAGGGGTTACCTGTCAAAGAAGAAGGAGCACCTCTCAAACTTGAATAAGGTAATTATCAGAGGTGAAGGGGGCACTTAGCAAAAGGGAAAAGGGGCACTTCTCGTACCTGAAAAGGGGAACCTATTAGAGATTTAAGAGGGCAAGTATCAGAATGAAAAAATGGACACTTATCATAAGTGAGAAGTAATAGGGGCACTTTTTAAAGTAAAATGGGCACTTTCCTATGTAAAAAGGGGGCACTTCTTACGAATTTATAGAGGCATTTTTCATTTGTAAAAAGGGGCACTGTTAGGATACTTGAAAAGTGGGGGGAGGGGGGGGGGGGGAGCAGTGACCCTGTCCTGTTTCTGATATGTTTCTCATGAATTTATCAAACACAGGAAATATATAATGAACAGTACACCCAATGAATTGAATCACTAGCATATTATTGGTAAACTGCCTTCACCTTGTACAGGGTTTGATTCGAGCGTTATTCACTCGACATTGCGCCTACACTAGAAAGAAACGTTAAAGGTATAGACCAGTATTGGAAACGCCCCAATTTCAAAAAATGAAATGGAAGCTCTCATTACCAATCATGTGAAAGAATATGTTTTGACTAATACATGATGATAAGAAGTTTGCCGGGAAACCACCTACTAATTCATATATTTGGTAAATTTGTTTCTCTCATGGTCTGTGAGAGATATAGGGTAGTCCCATATACATCTTTCTGTGTATAGTGCTTGTCATTTTGATGATTCCAGAACCTTGCAGATGCTAGATGCTAGATGATCAACCTTTTCTGATCGATTCCACAACGTTTCTTTCACAATGCAATCGCATGACCATAACTGGTCTTTACCTTTAAATCAACATTTGAAAGGTCCGAGGAGCAGATCAACACTTTTAACATGCTGGATTCAACCTCATTATCGGTGGATACACCGTGTCAAAAGTAATACTCTACTTTAACTAAAATGATATCACGGCTCAGTTACAAACAAAAATTCTCGTATTAACATCACTTTCGTTTTAGAGTTTTACATTCTAAAAGGTTACTAAGTAGTAAACATTAGTCCTACTAAAGTCTAAAAAAAAAAAGATATTGTATTGCCCTTTAGGTGCCAAAACATTGGTCAGTCGGTCGGAATTTTTTAAAAACTTGTTTTGATTTTTTTTTTCTTTACCTTTTTTTCTCTCCCTCTTTTGGCTGATATTTCTTAGTTTTGAATGCTTTAATATTGTTTTTTCTAAAATAAACTGTAGTAAAAGAAAATTAAAAGCCGACGGTAGATTTCAAGATTTTTGGGTCGGTCGCAAAGGGCTATACAACATATTTTTATGCCTCCGTTAAGAAGTAGCCGGAGGCATTATGTTTTCGGGTTGTCCGTTCGTCCGTCTGTACGTCCGTACGTCCCGTTCTCGTGATCGCGTTATCTGAAGAACCGACTGATGGATTCCTGCCAAACTTTGGTCATGTATGTATCTTGCAGAGCCGATGAACTGATTAGATTTCGGGGTCACGAGGTCAAAGGTCAAAGGGCTCATTATGTATGCAAAAACAGCTCGTGATCGCGTTATCTGAAGAACTGATTGATGGATTCCTGCCAAACTTAGGTCATGTATGTTACTTGCAGAGCCGATGAACTGATTAGATTTTGGGTTCATGAGGTCAAGGTCATGGGCTCATAATGTATGCAAAAATAGCTTGTGAACGCATTCTCATTAGAACTGACAGATGGATTACTATTTAACTCGGGACATCTTGCAGAGCCAATGAACTGAGTAGATTTTAGGGTCATGAGGTCAAAGATCAAAGGGTCATATATGTATATGAGAAATTGCTTGTAATCACGATATTCTGAGAACCTGTTAATGGATTACAATTGAACTTGAATTTGAAAAATTTCTTCTGTTTTGGTTTGTAAAGTTGCTCTATGACGGAGGCATCATTTTCGACTGCGCGCAGTCGAAGTTCCATCTAGTTTATAAAAGGCCTAATGTTACGTCCACGACAATATTTCAATTTATAAAGTGATTTTGACAATTGTTGGTGCGATTACTTACCTTTGTTTTTGTTTGTCAAAAACCAATAGAAAAGTTGGGACTCCTTTTCACGACAAATATCGCATGGTTCATCTCGCTCTCCGTAAGGTTCATCGAATGAGCAACTCCACGCTGCAAATACAATTATTCCATGTGCAATAGAAAGGATTTAGACATACAAGGGTTTAAATAGAGATTTAGCATTAGATTAATTTTATGTGAATCTTTAGTTGGACAGCACAGCTCTATTAAAGCCCTTCTGTCATAGCTACTTGCTCCCTCTATATAGAAAACTTCCCCAATCGGTGCCTGTTGGTCCCCCATGATCCTCTTTTTCTTATGTTAGTTGAGAGCTGAGTTAATAAGATAAACACCTGTCAGTGACCTCGCTGTGTGGTCTAATCCCTTCTGGTCCAGTAGTATTGACAGTCTTTAAAGGGATAGTTGAGTTCTGTTGCAGAGGGCGCTACACAACATAATTTTTTGTGAGATAATGAAAAAACTGACTGTCAAATTTGAAAGAACATACAATTTAAATGACAAAATCATCTTCGAACAAAATCGGTTCAGAGACGGCTGAAATATCCATAAATGTAACGATATCTAATATTTGTGTACCAGCACAAACATTCGATAATTTGAAAAAGCCGTTGAAAAAAATGAAACAGCGTCTTTTACGTTGTATTTCAGCCATTGCCGATGTTGGCTTTTTCGTGTTGGTTATATTACGCTCAACCAGCCGGCCCATGTATTTTTTTATTTTTTTATTAATTAATTAATTAACGGTTACCGAATTTTTTTGAAAGTGGAGCTGAATTGTATGATCGTATTGGCTGAATTCAACACATTTTGGGGTCTAAAATTACCTTCATAGCAATTTTAGGTCCTAAAAGGGCACTAGAAATGTCATAGACAAAAATAAGAGCAATAACCATGCACTTTTAAGGCATTTGCGGTCTGAACTCAACTATCCCTTTAAATATCTTACTTATACTGCAACACTTATTATATAACATCCAAGTAGATCTTTGTCATTTGATTGGGGAATTTCGGTCACATAATATTTAATATTCTATTGAAGAACTACTTCATTGAGTGTGCAATTTAAGTTATATATTCACCGTGCATTTTGGTTCTATTTAGCGTACACATTTGGTTATATCCGACCCCTATTGCTTGTCGTAGTTGTGACGTTGCACTGCAGTACAACATTTAAAAAGTACATTCACAAGCAGACGACCGGGGTCATCATGGCGGCCGGTATAAACAACAATGTTGTGCTGTTAAATGTTTACATTTTTATTTTACCTATAATATACTCCAATGATGATGTTATATAAAACAAATAATGAATGTTTGTCATTCGTTAAATAGTGTGGATCTTTTCATTCGTTGACAGATTAACATTTTATTCAACTGATAAACATTCATTATTTGTATACTAATACTATACTACTGTATATGGCGTCACGAAAAGAGCCTTCCAAATCTATCGCACATGCATAGTTTCATAAAATATATTAAAAAGGACTTCTGTAAAAATCTTCTATTCATAGATTGATTTAATCATTGACCCCGTGAAACCCACGAGACAGTATAGGCATGTATTTATTGCAGTATTAGTTACTTGAACAACTGCAAAAATCTGCCACATTTTAGAGCTTGTAACTTCCTTGTGTATTATGGCTATTTTCGTACAGGACATGCGTAGACAAATGAGAGTTCCTCTTTAGTAAACAAAAACGAGAGCTCTTGAATCGAATCCAAATATTTTAACAATGAAATGTAAACACTTTAAAATTCATCATTTTGTTCCCTCATAAGAAAATTACTGTAATTACCATATTATAATTTTGACAGAATATATTATACAGTGCATCCCAGAAAACAGGAAACAAAACATTTCTTGCTTTTAATAAAAAAGAACTAACATGGTTCCAAATAGTTAGTGATTGCTGTAAACCATACATGCTTCATTGAGCAACATTTTGTTTAAGTTGGCATGTAAAAAATGAGCTCATGCCAGTTTTTATTAATACAGTGAACACGTTAATATCACATGAGAACATGACGTTAGGGAAATGTAAGCTTTAAAGCCCCACTGTACTACTTGTAACTACTACTACTACTACTACTACTACTACTAATATTTATTTTTTTTATATAGCGCTTAATACAAATGTCTCTAAGCGCTTAACAAATATACTATTACCCCGGTCATTGGATTCAGTGATTGCCCGCACACAACGTGACGCTCAAAAACTGTTTGACCAACAATGACGGTCGCATCCTACCGGGTACCCATATAACACATGGGTGGAGAGTAGCAAGTGCAGGTTATTATCTATACTGGCTCCCTTTTTTATATAAAACAATGCCTATGCGGTGCCCGTTGGTCCCCCATGATCCTCTTCTTATGTTAATTGAGAGCTGAGTTGATGAGATAGTCACCTGTGAGTGACCACGCTGGGTGGTCTAATCCCTCCTGGCCAAACTAGTACAGACGGGCTTTAAAGGATGATGTGATTTTATATAATAAGCAGTTACTGAAATGGGGCGAATTCTCTTTTCAGGGATGACGGGGGCGTATAGCCTCAGATTCTCCCCAAATCAATGAATTGTCCTCAAGCCATGAAAAATCCCCCCTTTACAGACTGAAAGTGGTAGCTATCCTGAGAGAAAAAATATGAATTATGATGGTTGATCCAGTTCTGCCCTACCTTATACCCTATAATCAAAATTAAAGGTGTCCCTGATTTTCAATATCGCTGAAACAGTACAGGACCGTCTGCTTGGCTCGTTTAAAAAGTTTCAGTTGTAATCATACAATCGCAGATCATTTTTAGTAAAAAAAAATATTAAGGTAAAGAAACATGCCATTTTTACCCTCACCATTGAAAACATCTCCACTTTCCTTTATGACAAGGCCTAAAATCTTACCCTTGTTATTAATAGAAGCACATGAAAAAATCTTCTCATTAAGTTTTAAATTTATGTTTTCTTCAGTTCATGTTCAGTCATGTTCACTGTTTCTCAAATAGATTTTAACATGTAAATTCCTAAACAATGTTGCTCAGGGAAGCATTATGGAGTCATGTCATCAACGAATCAACGAAAAACAAGGAACTCTATTTAAATAGTTCATATTGTGTTCAAAATATTCGTTGGTTTTTAGGTTTCGTTTTTTCTGGGACGCAGAAAACAGATGAAAAACGATTTGCAGTTCTAATGAAAAATACAGTAATGAAATCAAATAAATCAAATCAAATGGTATAAAAAAAAAAATATTGAAATGGAATTTACAATATTTGGACCATCATCAATATACAAAAAAGAATGTAACAGAAGAATCAAAATAGGTTATAAATGAAAATATCAATTACAACCAATCATTTTGACATAAGTATACATGAAGTTAGGTAATTAATCTGTTTATAAGTAGACGGTATGCAACAGATGAATTCTGAAGAGCGCTTTTCCTTTCATTTCCTGCAGTAGCCATGGTCATTTTTACTTTATAGTCGGTTTTATTGATGCTGGGGGGCTGGGAGTGGGTGTAAGGGATGGGCAAATTGATTGTTACATGCTCATTTCAAATTATGGTCTGTAAAAATATATAATTCTTCTGTGCAAGACTTGTATTTTTACAGAATTTGATTTGATATTCAAGTGATTTGCATTTAGTTGTTTGTTGAGGTCATAGCATTGACCAGTTGCTCTCCTCCGAGACAGAAATGCCTGATAAGAAAAATGAAGATATGAATTATGATCAATCCTTTTTGCAAAGTAATCATGAAGTTCGGTAGCTAATCTCTTCATAATAAGTATGCAACACAAGAGTGGCACAATCATTATTGGAAGCGATCACTTGAATTTCAAAGAGCGTTTTTCATAACATTTCCTGCAACAGCCATAGTCAATTTTATAGTTTCGATTCGTTTTTATTTCCGTCATAAAAAAAAAATTCACAATGAAAAGAAAGTAACAAAAGAAAAATAACAAAACAAATCTACAAACGTATGCATAATATACAGTTTACATAAGCAAGACAAAAAAATCACATGACATTAAATTGAAGAAAACAAAACATCAACAACATTATAAACGTACAATGAGAATGTAAAACGAAATAAGCAAAAAGACAGAGGAAACACAGATGGCCAACTTTCAGCTGCACTTGCATAGTGCAGCTAGTCTTCCATGGAGACCAGAAAGGAAAAGAAGAAGTAGTGGAACAGGAAGGAGGATTGGGGGGGGGGGGGCAGAGCAACACGAAGCAAAACAACAAGAATAATGGTATTTAAAGCAGGACAAAAAAAATATTTTAAGGTATTATATCATAAATTAGACTTGTCGTGAAAAAAAGATCATTTGAATAAAGATAGAGATGTGCAATTCAGAGTAGGTTGGCGAGTGCTGCTGTGTAACTTAGCCACCTGTAGACAAAAAAGCGCGTTTGCTGTTGTTTGTTCGGGGTGTTGGAAGGGAAAGATTACTGTATCGTAGCTAATAAGGCATTGGGGTATGAAATATGTGTTCAGTTAAATAATTTGGTGTCATGTTATTGAGGATTTTGAACATAAATACTTTTTAAATGGAAATTACAATATTTGGACCATCATCAATATACAAAAAGAATGTAACAGAAGAATCAAAGTAGGTTATAAATAAAAAAATCAATACATGAAGTTAGGTAATTAATCTGTTTATAAGTAGACAGTATGCAACAGATGAATTCTGAAGAGCGCTTTTCCTTTCATTTCCTGAAGTAGCCATGGTCGATTTTACTTTATAATCGGTTTTATTGATGCTGTTTTGGTCTGTAAAAATATAAAATTCTATTTTGCAAGATTTGTATTTTTACAGAATCTGATTTGATATTCAAGTGATTTGCATTAAGTTGTTTGTTGAGGTCATAGCATATACCAGTTGCTCTCATTAGAGACAGAAATGCCTGATAAGAAAAATGAAGATATGAATTATGATCAATCCTTTTTGCAAAGTAATCATGAAGTTCGGTAGCTAATCTCTTCATAATAAGTATGGAACACAATAGTGGCACAATCATTATTGGAAGCGATCACTTGAATTTTAAAGAGCGTTTTTCCTTACATTCCCTGCAATAGCCGTAT